TTACAAGGCCGTACACATTTCCTCCATTTATTTCCTTTATTTTCTTTTTTATCTCTTGATCAGGCGGTCAGTTGAAAAACATTTTCATCGTGGTTAATTAAAAACGAAAAAAAGCATTCTGTCTCTTAGTATACTATATCTATATAATATTATTTAATATATATATATATATATATTTGAAAACTTCAGGCGATCATTAGTTTTTCGTTTTGTTAGAAAGTGGAACGAAGTTTGTCCATTTTATTTTTCTCCTTTGTGTCTCTCTCTCTCTCTCTCTCCCTCTTTCTCTCTCTTTTTCTATCTTATCATTTTTATTATTGTCTTACTCGTTGTCGTAACACTTTTTGTTGTTTTCGTAGTTAAGAGGAAAAACAAATCGAGTAACATAGTAATCGTATTTGTGATGGACGTAGAACACAAAGAGAATCCGCAAAGTCTACGACTATCCAATTAGACTAACTCAACGTGTAATACATCATAGCCATTGTTACCTCAGGCGCGATGCCCCGATTATTCGATTGAATATACTCGTATTCTCATCAACTATACAACGTCTATATATATATATATATATATATATATATATATATATATATATATATATATTTATATATAATATAGAGAAAAGGAACTATATTATATATATATATATAATAGAGAGAAAAGGAACTATATTATATATATATATATGGGATGTCTCAAAAGTCACTACCCACATATTACATTTTACTGACATTGATTGTTGCTTAATTGTATTTTTCCTTTTTTTCTGTCTCTCTTTTTTCTTTTTCATTAACACGTACGTCTGTTACAAATTTTGGTATTTGCAAAAAAAAAAAAAAAAAAAAGAAAAAAAGAGAGAAAGAGAAAGAGAGAGAGAGAGAGAGAGAGAGAGAGAGAAAGAAAAAAAGAACACGTCACATTTCGAATTTCACGTAATTTATAATAAATTTCTTATTTCAATGTTATATCTAACAAGATTGATAATAATCTACATTTTCTAATTTTATCTATTATCATATAATTATATCGAATTTATTACTATATCATTACTATATTTATTACTATACTATTATCGAATTTATTTGATCTAGAAAAAGAAATGGGTGAGGGAAGGAGATGGGTGGGAGGGAGGGAGGGAGGGAGGTAAGAAAGAAATAAGAAAAAAGGTAGAGTTAATATAAAATACAAATTAACATATCTCATTGTCTGGAAAAGAGAAAAAGAAAACAGAGCATAAATGCGCCCTTTTGTTATATCTTAAAGAAAAAGAAAAAGAAGAAAAAGAGGATAAAGAAGATGGAGTACTGACAATGAGATAGAAAGAAAAGAAGAAGAATAAGAAGGAGAAGAAGAAGAAGAAAAAGAAAAAATAAGGGTCTGAGAGAAAGGAGGCCATGAAAAATTAAGATTTTCATTAGGTCGTGCAAACCTCCGGAAGAAAATTTTTCAAAGGGCGACACGACGAACGAAGGAACATTGACAGTAATGGCAAAAGGTTCACGTATTTTTAAAGATACTTTTATCTTTTATCTTTTATCTTTATATCATGGACTCCCTTATTGTCTAGATCCTGTATCTCATTAAAATCGATTTATGCAGGTGACATTAAAAACACTCGTTTCTTTCATTAAATTATTTAAATGAATCCTACCGCACGGCTCTGGATTTAAGTATGTAAATGTTGTAAAACTGTAGAAGGTACTTAGGTTTTTTTCTTTTTTTTTTTTTTTTTTTTTTTTAAATTCGTTTGCTTTTTTCTTTCTTTCTTTCTTTTCTCTCTCTCTCTCTCTCTCTCTCTCTCTCTCTCTCTTTTTTGTTTTTCTTTCCCTCTTTTTTTTTTGGATATTCTATCGTAATTAGTAACGACCAAAATTATACCGGTGATATAAGTGCAAAATTGAAAAAACTTATCATCCGTTATATTTATAATATTATAATAATTTATAACGAATTATTTATTGCAAATTAAAAAATTTATCTTATTTTTTAATTAACACTAACGTGTAATAAATTTAATTCAATTTTATTATCTTTGTTTATAAACAAAATTGTTTATAACAAATTGTTAATTAATTATTAACAATGTGTTAATAAACAAATAGAGAAAATTTTGCCCTTAAAAATGACCCTTTATTCGTATTTCTACGACTTTTAGTCCCGTAGATATGCTCATGTAAATGCAGAACGTGATTGTTAAATAATAAACAAAAAAATAATTGTTCGTTAACAAAAAATAATCAATTCGTTTATTAATTATTTATTAGTTCATATTATTCTTAAACTGAATACTTTTATTGGCACAAAATAAGATGACATTAGTTCGTAAGAATTTGTTTATAATAAATTGTTTATAAACAAATAGATTAATTAATAATTATTTTAAGAATAAAAAATAGAGAAAATTTTGCCCTTTAAAATGATATTTGATTCAAGTCTCTACGACTTTTAGTTTCGAAGATATTCCCATGCAAATATAAAAGATTTTACGCTGACCCACTGACCTATATAATTTCATTCAAAATTGGCACAGTGACACACTGACCTATATAAATTCCAAGAATTTACGATGGCCTACTACTACTACTATTATTACTACGTACAGCTGTAGAACACAAATTATGAATGAAAAACTTTCACAAACGATATCTTCGGAACGGAAAGTCGTACAGACTTGATATAAATACCGTTTTCAAGCATTTTTTATCCTTTATTCGTATAAACATTGCAATAATATTGTTATAATAAAATCAATTTTTTTTTTACTTATTTATTGCAAATTTTTTTTTCTTCCTTTTCTTCACGTAATAATAGCGTCGTAAATAGAACGAATGTCATTCAAATTTTTATTATTATTATGTCAATTTTATTTTTATTTGTTTATTTAAAAAAAAAAAAAAAAAAAAAAAAAAAAAAAAAAAAAAAAAAAAAAAAAAAAAAAGATTTCATATACAAAATTAAGATCGTAAACACGAAGAATTATTCTTTATGTACTTTGAGCTTACATTATTATAAATTGTAAATCATCAATATCTTGTTAATATTATTTACTTATGTACTATTACTATGTATTTACTTATTTTAATCGCATCTCCGTAATATCGTTACTTAGAAATAAATTAAACCTGAAATATCTCCCAAACTAAATAAACTTTCGACACAAACGATTTAATACTTTCTCATAGAGAAGGTTAAGCTGGTTATCGAGCGAATGTAATGAAAAGCGCATGATCTCGTTAACAAAAAAAAAAAAAAGAAAAAAAAAATAAAATAAAATAAAATAAAACAAGAAAAAGAAAGAATAATAAGTTAATAAAAAAAGATTACTGCCAAATTATGAACCTAATCGTACCGTACGACGAATTTCGTAAATAAAATTTCTCTGGTGGTGGAAAAAAAAAAGAAGAAATATAGAACATTCAAAACTATTGTTCCAACCTTTTATATACCTATGTATTGTAGGAACATACATATGTAGAATAAATAAAATTGTAAAAGTGAAAGTAATGATGAAAAAAAAAAAAAGAAAAAAAAAAGAAAAAAGACGAAAAGAAAAGAAAAACAAAAGAGGAACGATTTTCGAACGAACGTATGGTTGGAAGAAGAAGAAAAAAGAAAACGAGAGAAATAAATCTTTCACGCGAATACCGAAACCAATTAAATAAAATACTTTATTTATTCATTGAAACGTTTATCACGAATTATTATTAATTAAATGAACAATCAAGTAGATATATATATATATATATATATATTTCTCGTGTTAGTAGTATGTCGAAACTATCGAATCGCGTGTTGCGTTTCACTGCTTGAAAATTACTATAGCAATAATTTATCCGAGAAACTTATCGATGTGCGTACGTTCTCTTTCTCTCTGTCTTTCTCTCTCTCTCTCTCTCTCTCTCTCTTTCTTTCTCTCTCTCTCTTTCTCTCTCTCTCTTTCTCTCTCTTTCTTTCTTTTTAGAATACAATAGTTCGCAACAGAAAGAGATAGAGATAAAGATAGATGAAAAGGTATAAAAAGAGAAGAAAAAGAAAAGGAAAGAAAAGAAAAGGAAAGTAGAATAAGAAGAGAGTAGAGTAATCGATTCCGAATTGTTTCGCATCTTTATCGAAAAAAAATCTTTCATTTAAATCGTCGAATTATATTATCGGGATATAATATAAAGAGGAGAAATTAAAGAATAAGCTAATAAAAAAAAAAAAAAAAAAAAGAAATAAATAAATAAAATAAAAAGAGAAAGAAAAAGAAAAAGCGATAGAGAGCTTTACATTTTCCAATCTATTTACCAAGTTAATTGAAATCTCATTAATCTAAAAGCAAACTCCAATTCCACGAGAAATAGTTTTCTTTTAATCTTACCAGATATGAAATATCATCATGATAATTCGTAATTAATTCAGCCAAAAAGAATCACTATATATATATATATATATATATATATATATATATATATATATATAAAATATCGGTAAAAAAATTATGATCGAATGTAATCATAAGAAATGATTACATTATTATATATGATAATGAAAATATTATTAAAATTATTAAATATGAAAATTTATTATTAAAAATAATAATAAAAATAATAATAATAAAAATAATAATAATAATAATAATAATAATAATAATAATAATAATACAATCTAATGGAAAAAATTAAAAAAGTATGATTTAAAAAAAAAAGAAAAGGAAGGTTCAATTTCTTGTCACATATTGGGTGAATTAAAAAAAAAAAAAAAAAAAAAAAAAAAAAAAAAAAAAAAAAAAAAAAAAAAAAAGATGAATAAAACCTAATTAATCTTACGAAACTTTTGATTTACTCCTTATAGAAACTTTTCAGTTCTCAATCTGTATGCATGCATACACTCCACAAACTATGTATACGTTCTCGCATAACAATACGATTCGACAAGCACAAAAAGAGAGAAAAAAAAAGAATAAACAAAGAAAAAAAAAAAAGAAAAGAAAACGAAGAATATTAAAATCGAAATACCTTCGTACTTGAGGCAGGACAAGTTGAGATGTTCCCTTGCAAGCTTCAACGCAGCTTCTTCGCAATTTTCGAATTTTCTCGCGTAATTCTGGACAGTCACGTGGTTGGCCGACGTTTATAAGGAGATCGCGAAATTGTGCTACCTGACAGTTTATATCCTGAATTTGCTGCAATAGAAGAAATAAAATTACACGAGTTATATATCACCTATATATTATATACACATATAATATACTTTACTTCATTGATTTTAATTTGAATTTTTTTATATCTACAATCCGTTTGAAAATCTTTTAATATTTTCTTCTTCGATCGAATTAATTCTCATAAATAATTTAAAAAATTCAAATCGTAATATGTGTCACATTAAAAAAAAAAAAAAACGAGAAAAGAAAATTTATGTATTACTGTTTGATTCATATCTCTCTCTCTCTCTCTCTCTCTCTCTCTCTCTCTCTTTCGCTCTATCATAATATTTTAATTATTACATTTTATTAGATAAGATCAAGATCAAGGTCAATTTTTTACGATATTTCATAACGATTTCTTTCTCTATCGTAATAATTAAAACATTATAAATAATAAGTATTTAAACTTGTTGATTAATAAATTTTTAAAACATTTATATATTAATTTTATCGATTATATACAAATATATATATATATATATATATATATATGTACATATATATAAATACATTAAATTCTATTAAAGAAGATTAAGAATTATAATTTCTTAATAATTATTTTCAGTCATAAATCAAAAGCATAATAACAAATCGGATTATTTCGTTTATTATCTATTAATTATTTACTTCTCTCTCTCTCTCTTTCTCTCTCTCTCTCTTTCTTTCGATTGAAATATTTATTCTAGATATGAAAGAGAGAGAGAAAGAGAGAAAACGATTGAACATATGGTGAAATGAATTTTAAAGACATTCATATATTAATTATAATCAATTAAAAATAATATTTTAATGCATTAAATTTTAAAAATGAAATAACATCAAGATAATAATTTTTTTATTCAATTTCATATATAATCATTATTCTAAATTTGATAAATCAAACACATAATAACAAATCGTATTATCTCGCTTATTAATTTTGAGTTTTCTCTCTATCTCTCTCTCTCTCTCTCTCTCTCTCTCTCTTCTTCAATTGCAATATCTACTCTAGAAATTCGAGAGAGAGAGAGAGAGAGAGAAAGAAAGAAAGAGAGAGAAAGAAAGAGAGAGAAAGAGAGAGAGAGAGAGAGATTGAGGTAGAAATCAAAGATTAAATTATCGAAAAATATAAAACTCGCAAAAGTACATTCGAAAATCGATTTACCAGAAAAACCACCTTCTCGGATTTATCGGATTTATCGTCGTGGCATTTGCTCGTCGATGGTGTTGGAGACTCCGTCATTATCTGATCTTCTTACGGACTAGTTCTTCTCCGATCGTCGTGTGACATAACGAACATTATCCACGTCATCTCCGCGAAGAAGAAGAAGAAGAAGAAGAAGGAAAATAAAAAAAGAAAGAAAAAAGAAAAAAAACGAGAAAAGAAAAAGAAAAGAAGAACAAGAAAGTGTAAAAGGAAAAGAAAGAGAAACGAAAGATGTCTCTCTTAAAGAAAAAGAAGAAATAACGAATGAACGAGTAAACAAATCAACAAACAAACAGATAAATAAATAAATAAAATAAAAACACCCCCTCTAGAATTACACACGATCTAAAGGTTCGTACTAATTTATATTGAAATATTTCAATCGATTTCTATGTACGTATTTATAACGTAAATTATACGTGTATTTGTTGTTTTTCTTTTTTATTTATTATCTCTTCTTATCGAAAAAAGAAAAAAAGCGCAATTTTATCGATCTTATTATTCGATGGATGGATAGATCGATCGATAAGAAAATTAATCGTCGAGAAACGACGAAACTTTTTGACCCATGTTATTCCATGGTCTAATAATCAAACCTCGATGGCATTTAATTGATATTAACAAAAAGAAAAAAGAAAAAGAAAAAGAAAAAGAAAAAGGAAAAAGGAGAAATAAAAAGATGGAAAGAAAGATAGAAAAAAAAAAAGAGAGAGAAATTTATCTTTACCAACGTTCGTATTCTTTTACCATCGATAAAAAGAGATAGCAGGAGTTAGATGAATAGATAGATAAATAAAAGCTAAATAAAGAGAAAGAGAGATAGATAGATAGATAGATAGATAGATAGATAGATGGATAGATAAAGAAATAACGATTTTTTTGTTCTTTTTTTTTTTTGTTTTAAATCAAAAAACGTTCGTTGTTATTAATGTCCTGCTCGATCGAACGTATATATCACGTTATAAATCATCGTAAATCGTAAGATCATTCGTAAATCATAGAACGTTTGTGAAAATCAAATCTATACAAATGATATTAATAACAATTAATAATAATAATAATAATAATAATAATAATAATAATAATAATAATAATAATAATAATAATAATGATGTTGATGATGATG